CAGTGATTATTATCCATTCTTTCTGCATGGTTTAACCCCAGCCAGACATCTTGTTCACCCACTCCCCCCCCTTCTTGCCCTCCCCCTATTCCCGGAGGGACGGAGAGGAGAATCAAAAAGAATGCAACTCCCACGGGCTGAGATAAGACCAGTTTAGTAACTAAGGTATAACACAAATTACTACTGCTACCACCAATAATAGTAATGATAAAGGAAATAACAAGGGAAGAGAATACAACACATCATCACCAGGCGACTGATAACTCGCCCCCCCCAGCCTGACCAAGCACAGACCGATACCTCCTCCAAACCTGCAGTCCACTTAGCCCTTCCGGGTAACTCCCAGTTACCTCCTGGGCATGACGTGCTGCGGTATGGAATACCTCTTTGGTCAGTTTGGGTCAGGTGTCCTGTCTCTGCTTCCTCCTGGCTTCCCTCCTCCCTGGCAGAGCATGAGGCCCACAAAGTCCTTGGCCAAACCAAAACATCATTGTTATCAGCTCTGTTCCCAGCTGAAAGTCAAAACACAGCCCTGCACCAGCTACCAAGAAGGAGAAAAATGACAGCTACTGCTGAACCCAGGACACCTCTCTATCCCAGTGCTCCTTGAATGCAATTATAAAAATAATATGAGAGCACCTACACACAGGTTTTATGATATTCTCAGGGTGTTCAGTAAAATATCTCTGGGTTCTGCAGATCAACTCCCCTGTTATTAGATTGTAGTTTTGGTTCCAGCAAAATTTACACTCTCCTAATATCCATGGTAGGTTCCACTGTTCAAAAGTTATTATGCACCCATATGTGAGGCAATAATTCTCTGAGTGTAAAGTCCAGGTCCCAAGAATAGGACTACTAATATTAGAGGTTACACTTCACTTCTACAGCCAATGGGGCGCAGAGAGGGAACTCTTCTTAATGCCCCCCCCCCCATTAGCCATGGTTTACTTTTGTCTACATCCAGAGTACCCAACACCCCCGCCCACCTGTCAGGAAACAACTACTTAAAGGAGTGAAAATACTTGCTAAAATGAAGTATTTTCAAAGGGGGGAAATGTTAGAAAAAGAGTGAAATTTTACGTTGAAATGATTATATAGAGTAATAGAAATGATTATATCTGAGAAATTTTTGAATCAAAAGTAGACTTTTGTATATTAGAAGAATGTTGTAACTTTGCTGTTCTGTATTTTAGTTACTCTATAACCAAAAATATCACAATGGTAGTCTTAGCAGTAGAAACTAACGTAACCACAAAAGAACATAGGATGTCTGGCCTAAAACTTTGTGGTTTAAAACAAGGAACTGTGCATCTTGATAATACAGATGCTCATAATCTTGGTATTGCTTAAAAGGAAGCTCTGTCTAGAAATAGGGACTATGTATCTTAGGCAGCAGAGAAATTTGTAATCTCTGCAATATTGGCAGCTTTGTGAAATCATTGCAACATAGAAGCAGCCAAGTGAGGAAGTTAGAATGCTGGCGTCCACGTAATGGTTGGGGCCTGTCCAAATAACGGAAAGGTGATAAGCATAAGGTGAAGAAGACTCCTTACTTCATCAGGACGACCACCAGAGGGGGCTGCGCAAGCGCAGAGGAGGCTGATGTCGTAATGAACTAATGAAGTAATCCCTGATGCATATGTATTAGTTAACGTAGCAACCCATGTTGGATACGCATTAATTGCAAAACTTTTATGCATAAATTGCGAACGCGATGTGACGGGGTCGGAACCAGATTTGGGTGCATACCCGTGGTTCCCGGCACCTCAATAAAAGCACCTCTTATAACCATTCCGGTGGTTACGTGTCAGTTCTTACGCTAACATTCCCAGTGCTGTGTCATCAGAGGAAAATTGGCTTTTGCTTTCCCCAAAAGCACCCTGAGCAGCAGCGTGATGGTCCTTACCCATGGAGCAGGATAGAAGTTCTTTGAAGTCACCAATAAAAGTGTTGGGGTGTTCGCTCTCCCCGTGTCCTGGAAGTTGATGGACATGCAAGTGTCCCAGCCTCTGTGTGTGTGCACACAGGTGTTATAGCACTGGGAGGGCCATTAACAGCTGGAGCGGTTGAAGCTCTGCCTCCAAGTGTGTGTGCCTGCACACGTATGTGCCTGCGCGTGAGAACACGCGTGCAGCACGTGGGGGGAGGGGGCCTGCTCGGGTCCCTTCGAGCGGCTGCCCCCTCTTCGGTGGCTTCGGCTCCTCTCGGTTCCCTTCGGCTCCGCTCGGACCAGTTCAGCCGGCTCCACCCTCTTCGGGTCCCTTCGGCTCCACTCGGGTCCCTTCGGCTCCGCTCAGATCCCTTCGGGCGGCTCCACTCGGGTCCCTCGGGCAGCTCCCCCCTCTTCGGCAGGCTCCCGCTCGTGTTCCGCTCGGCTCCCTTCGGCTCCGCTCGTGTTCCTTCGGCTCCCCTCGGGCCAGTTCCGTCGGCTCCGCTCTCCTCAGGTGGCATCGGCTTCACTCGGCTCCCTTCGGCTCCGCTCGTGTTCCTTCGGCTCCCCTCGGGCCAGTTCCGTCGGCTCCGCTCTCCTGAGGTGGCATCGGCTTCACTCGGCTCCCTTCGGCTCCGCTCGGGTTCCTTCGGTCGGCTCTGTCCCCTTTAGGAGGCTTCGGCTCCAATCAGCTCCCTTCGGGCAAAAGCGGGTATTCCCTCACTTTTGCCTTATAAATGTGATAAACACATGAAAGTACTGGCTTTCGCAAATCATAGGTGTTGCTATGTGGATATAACTGTAGGAGTCTGCAAAGCTTGCTAAAGACACAAGATTAGACAACTAGTAAAAATGGCCAGAACTCGTGAGCAAAACGGAGTCGCATAGCAAAAGGATTTGTAAAGATAAAACAAAAGGCAGGGGGTGGGGCAGGGGCAGCTTGATAAAGAAATGCTAGTGCCTGGAAAACACAGGGTTAGAGTACTTTTAGCCTAACTTAGGTCAAAGATAACAATGTTCAAGCCTGTGGCCCCACTAAACGTGATTAAATTGTTTCACGCCATCCTTCTAAAGTACCTTTAGCTTAACTTAGATCTGATAAGCAGAGAGACTCCACAACTCGTTCCAGTTGTAAAGTAGGTATGCTTTATTCAGCTGAGGTGCACGGGGGATAGCTCCTCCAAAGGCAGGCCCGCCACAACCTCATCTCTCCCCTCATTTATTCTCTAAAATTATACATATTCATCAGGTTACACAACACGCCTATACATATTCCAGTGTCTGCTCCCGGCCATCCTGCAGCACAGTGAGCAGAGCATGAAATGTTTTGCCTCTGATAACACAGCTGAAGAGGCAGGACAGAAAACTGTGGCTGGGCCTCTTCTGCAGACTGTGAGGTCTGCAACGATGCCACCAGCACTGCTCTTGCTCCTTGCTTTTCCACCTTAAATTCCCAGGCACAGAGTCTCAGCCCCAGCATCTCAGCCCCAGTCTTATCTCAGAGTATAAGCCCTGCAGTCTTAGCCACAGAGCCTGCGCCACAGAGTCTCAGCTACAGTCTCAGCCCCAAAGTCTGAATCTCAGAGTCTCAGCCATAGAGTCGCAGCAACAGTCTCAGCCCCAGACTCTCAGCACCAGCATCTTAGCCTGTGCAGTCCTGGGAAGGAGGATGTGCAGGCCCTGAGCCTGGGGGGAAGCAGCCAGGGGGGCACAGGAGCCACGAATGCCTCAGAACCACAGTGTCTCATCCCTGAGACAGGGGGAGGCAGTGCCAGCCACGCTGTCTCAAGCAGCCGGATTAGGCACTGCCAGCTTGGACTCCCCGCAGCGCACAGGGGAGCAGCCGTGCCTGGGGAAGGACCCAGAGCAGGATGAGGGCTGCGAGGTGGCAGCTGTGCTGCGAGCACTGCGGGAGGAAGCAGCCAGCAGCAGAGCAGAGCAGGCTCAGAGCAGGTGAGCCACACACAGCCGGAGCCCAGCAGGGCTCTCCCTGTGCCTGCTCCATCACGAGCAGGCACCCAGGCGCTGCAGCAGCTCAGGCTGTGCCCATGCCTGTGCCCACAAGGAGCTGGCAGAGCAGCTCAAGGCAGAGGTGAGCCAGTGGTAGTGGAAGCATCAGGTGGCCCTCGAGCAGGCACTGCAACACATGCACGCTGCGGCCCATGCTGCAGAGGAGCTGCAGAGGAGCCAGAAACAGCTCCAAACCCTGAGGGAGCAGGTAGGTAGCAGGCAGGACCTGCTGTGGGATCCCTCCCTCAGCCTGGCCCCAGTCTCCTCTGCCCCTGTGGGTAACCTAGGGCCCGCCCCGTGCCAGCAGCAGGCTGCCACACCATGAGAGCTGCAAGGGGAGCTGCGCTGTCAGTAGGATGGGAAAGAAAAGCTGTAGCAAGAGCTGCTGCAGGCAAAGGGCCAAGACACACATTGTGCTTCCTCACCTGACAGCAGAGGCTCAGCTTTCCACCCAGCAACCAGATCTATGGAGGGACAGCAAACCCCACACATTCACAACAGCCCTTACCTCGTTGATCTGCCACCGCTGTGCTGAAATGCGTGTCTGCCTCTGCTACTGCAAGTGCTGCTCCCGCTTTTCACGTACTCCTCGGAGGAGCAGGCCAAGGGGTTGTGAAACGCGTCGTAGCCCTCATCCATCATGTACCAGTCCCGGTCAGCTTGCTGGGAGGGGAGAGGTGCTGCCCTGAGCTCCGCCGGCCCCGGAAGCCACCAGGGCCGGGCCGGGCGCTGCCGCTGCTCCCGATGTGGCCGCCGGGGGGAGCCCGCCCGCCGCTCCCGCCGCCCGCACTGCTGCCTGCCCGCCCCCCCCACCCGCGGCTCTCACCCGGCGTCGTCCTCCCACTGCTGCCGCTCCTCCTCTGTCTCGAAGGCGATGCCCTCCTCCCCGTCTGTGCGCCGTCCTGGAGGGGTGAGCGGGTTAGTGCGGCGCCAGTCCGGGCGCGCAGGGGAAAACCCTACAGCACCCAACCTGGAGTTTCGCAGGAGAAGGGAATTTCCCCAGTGTTCCCAGGTAGCTTAGCCCAGGCCCCTCACCTCTCCCTCTGGACAGCCGTGGTGTGGAACCGAGGTGTCTCCGGTCATCAGCCCACTCGTTGTACTTGTACGACGGGGTGGGCAATGGTGTCTTATCTGAGTACCTGCTCCTCACAGACCTGGAAAACAGCACAAGGGAAGAAATGGTGTCCACAGCCAGGCACAACCCTCACATACACCGTCCCCTGCAACTAACAGCTCAGCCCCAGGCACTCATACCTGTCCCGGTCTCTCCGTCCGTGTCCCGCTGTGATGATGGCCGCTGGCTGCGCCCTGAGTCTCGAGAGGAAGGCATGGGTGAGGGAGATTCCCACTGTGAGCGGTGAGCACTGCTGGAGCCAGTGTCATCCTCCTCCCAGCCGGAGTGAGACGGTGTGGCTGCGTCTAGCAGAGAAGACGGGGTTTGGGACCTGATGTTCAGTGACTCCCTAAAGACCAGGAGCCACTGTATACCTTCTAGCAAGGAGCACGGAGAGAGGGTATGCATGTGTCCCTATTTAAAGGAAGGGGCTGGGGCAGCATTCCAAGGCAAATTTCCAAGTGACCACACTTCTATCACACAGACCGAGAACAGACCCTGCTGCACAGAGATCAGCCAGATGTTCACACACATGGTTGGCAGATTTCCCCTGGGCCCAGGATCAGGCTAGGAGTTTTAGGTTTCCCTAACCACAAACGTTAAAAGATACAGGCTTTTCGACCCACACTTGTCCTGACAAAAGCAGCAGAAAACATTAACAACAAAAAGAACAAACCCCTTCCTGTTTGTCTCACATAAGAACTCTGCTGGGTCCCACTCCTACCTTTGGGCCGATGCCTGGGACTCTCTGGTTCACTCCTCTTGCTGCTGCCCTCCGATGAGCTGTCCCTCTCTGACCTGCTCCTGTGACGACTTCTGTCCTGTTCCTCTGCAAAAGGAAAGTGAGATCATGGGCCAAGTGCACAAGCAGGCTTCCCAGACCTGCTGCAGAAACCACTACAAACATTAGCTAAGGACTGCAAACAGGCTGAGGGATGAGCCCAAGCCCTAAGCAGTAAGAGGCACAAAGGTCTCTAAGCAATTACCACGGTGCTGTTTGCGATCATGGGCCCGGTCCCTACTGCGTTCCTCCTGCTGCTTCTCCTCCTTGGAGGAGGCAAAGACATCATGTGCCTGACGGTCCCTTTCACGCTGCCGGTTGTGTTCCCAAAACTCCTCACTGACACCCCCCGTGTAGGAAGGTGATTCCATATGGGTAGAACGGTAATGCCTGGAAAGGCAGAGCAGAGAGAAGAAAAGCTCAAGAGTGCTGAGGAATAGATGGTCTTGACTCATACAACTCTACTTCTAACCTCTACTATAGCAGAAGCTTATAGCTGAAAGTGCTCTCTCCATCCTTTGCTAACAGCACACCATGTCTCTGATGCTCTCACGTGCACTTCTGAACAGGCCGCTGCCTTCAGGCATCAGGAAGCAGGGAGTCTCACAACTGCGATGGCTGGTGATTGCAGGCCTGACAGTACCTACCCGTAACACCCCAGGCAGGGCAGCAGCGAAGAGCTTTGCCCAGAGCTCCTCAGACCTACAGAGGTGCCCCCGATCCTACCCGAGGAAATTCCCCGCTCCGCGCACACGCTGACGGTGCTCACGCTCATTCCCCCAAGGGGATCCGGCAGCCGCGGAAAACCCGGTGCCACCGAGCACCCGCCCCGCCCCGCAGACCCACCTGTGAACGCCGTGGCTGCTCCGGGTGCTCTCGTCGCCGTCGTCCTCGGCGCTGCCCGGCTCGCCTCAGCTCTCTTCCCGGTCCCTCTGCGAGGCGACCCGGGACCGCTCCCTGCCCACCTCCTCCTCCCCGCGCTCCCGCCGCTTCTGGGCCGCCAGCACATCCAGGCCCAGCAAGGAAGCCCGTGGTGCCGGCGCCTTGACGACGTGCTGCTCGGCGGCAGCGCTGCGCTGCCTTAGCACCAGCCCGCCGGCCTCGCCGTCCGGGCTTGTCCCCGCCAGGCGGTGCAGAGACCCCGCGGCCATCGCCGCCGATGAGCGGGCGGGAGGGGTAAGTACCGGAGCTCTGCCCCTGCCTCTGCCTTTGCCTCTGTCCCTGCTCCTGCCCCTGCCCCTGCCCCCGCCCCTGACTCTGCCCCTGCCCCTGCCCCCGCCCCTGTCCCGCTTGCGGTTGCCTCAGCGACGGTAAACCAGCTCCCCGAGCGCCGAAATGACCGCCCCGCAGTGCTCCGCGAGAAGTGCCGTCCCAACGGCTAGGAGAACCAAGACACGACAACTCAATATGAGTGATAAGCAAGCTTCTGCTTTATTCGTGTTGCATGTCGCTTATATCCTCACAGTGTTAATTCTGCCTACTAGTCGCTACAGCATTGGTTAGTTCTAAACGGTTACATTTCATTCTTTTCCCAGATACGCTCCTGTTTTCAAGGATCTTTAACCACAACCCGGCCCCTAGGGACTTTCCCTGGAGCTCAAGGGCAGTATGTCCTTCAGCTTGAGTCACGTACATGTGAGGCCTACACTTTGCTTTGATGGCACAAGGCCTCCAAGGATCAGTCAGCTGATTGGAGCTAGCCTAGCTAGAGCCGCAGCCGGCACGCTACAGCGACCGCGATCTTCTCCCGAGATCAGGAAAATCAGAGGGGATAGAGCGGAGCCTCCGCGATTCCCCTCATTAGCCAACACTTCCGGATTCCCGAAGTTCCAGCAGCCCTTGCGAAAGAGCGGCTGACGTGGCGGGGGGCGTTCCCACGGCGAACGGCGACCACTCCCCTGCCCCTTGACTTGAAAAAGCCTTTGAGAGGGCAGCGACGTGTCACTGCCCACTTGGTGCAGGGAAGAACAGGTAGGTCTTTGTGCTGACCAGTATGGTCGCCTCCAGAAAGAGAGCTAGCAGTAAGAGGGCTGTAGCAACTCAGAGACCCCGGCCCTAACCGTGGCTGTTCAGGTCTCTGGATGCAGGGAGTGCCAGAGCCTGCTGCTGCCGGGGGAAGGAGGACAGCATTCCACCTGTGTGAGGTGTGAGCAGGTGGAAGATTTGTTTAGCTTGGTGGCTGAACTTAAGGAGGAGGTTGAGATGCTGAGGAGCATCAGGGAGTGTGAAAGGGAGATCGACTGCTGGAGTAACTCCCTGGCTGGCCAGTTGGTACGGCTCCAGGGAGATACCCCCCAAAAGAGGATGGACCCCCTGCCCTCTCAGACAGAGGGGGATGGCCTGAGACAGCCCCTGTCATGTAGCTGTCGCCCGGAGGTAGGGGACCAAAAAGATGAGGAGGGTTGGAAGCGAGTTCCGGTTCGGCGTCGTGGGCAGCCCTCCTCCCTTCCTGCCCCGCTTCCCCAGGTGTCCCTCTGTAATAGGTTTGAGGCTCTGGATCTGGAAGGAGAGGTAGGTGAGGATGTGGTGCAAGGCCCGCCTACAAGGCCACATAGGAAAAAGCGGTCGACTTCGCACCTCAAGACTGCCTCTGGTAAGAAAGAAAGAAGGGTCATTGTAGTGGGTGATTCCATTCTGAAAGGAACAGAGGGCCCGATATGCAGAGTTGACCCTCATCATAGGGAAGTGTGTAGTCTGCCTGGAGCCCGGATCAGGGATATCACCAGGGTGCTCCCCAACCTGGTGCGCCTACTACCCGCTGCTGGTCTTCCAGACGGGTGAAGGGGAAGTTGCTTCCCGCAGTCTGAGGGAGATAAAGAAAGACTACAGGGCCTTGGGGCGGATGGTGAAAGACTCTGGGGCTCAGGTGATCTTCTCTTCGCTCCTTCCATCTTCTGTTGATGATGTGGGACTGAATGGGAAAATGCAGTCCATAAACGATTGGCTTCGAGGCTGGTGCTCCAGGCAGGGCTTTGGATTCTTTGATAACGGCTGGTTTTATAGGGCACCGGCCTGGACATTGGCATGTGGGAAAGGTTTATCGCACAGAGGTAAAAGGATGCTGGGGCACGAATTAGCAGGGCTCATTTGGAGAGCTTTAAACTAGATTTGAAGGGGGATGGGGTTGTAGCTGGGCTTGCCTCAGTGGGACAGCGCTCCGGAATTGATGAAGACTGGGAGGCCTCCTGTAATCCTAGGGTGAAATCGGTGTGCTCGGCTCGCTCCCTGAAATGTCTGTACGCCAATGCGCGCAGCATGGGAAATAAGCAGGAGGAGCTAGAAACCTGTGTTAAGTCAGGAGATTATGATCTGGTGGCAATTACAGAGACGTGGTGGGACAGCTCACATGACTGGAATATAGTCATGGAGGGCTATGTCCTTTTCAGGAAAGACAGGCCAGCCAGGCGGGGTGGTGGGGTTGCTCTTTATGTGCGAGAGCAGCTACAATGCGTTGAGTTCTGTCCGGGGACAGATGATGAGCGAGTTGAGAGTCTGTGGGTGAGAATTAAGGGGCAGGCTGGCAGGGGCGATACTGTTGTGGGGGTCTGTTACAGGCCACCGGATCAGGGTGAGGAAGTTGACGAGGCCTTCTATAGGCAGCTGAGAGCGGCCTCACAGTCACAGGCCGTGGTCGTCGTGGGGGATTTTAACTTCCCTGATGTTTGCTGGAAGGACTACTCGGCAACCCAGCCGCAGTCCAGGAGGTTCCTCCAGTGTATGGATGATAACTTCCTCATGCAAATGGTGGATGAGCCAACCAGGAGAGGTGTGCTGCTGGATCTCATCCTCACTAACAAGGAGGGTCTGGTTGAAGGAGTGAAGGTTGAGGGCTGCCTTGGTTGCAGCGACCACGAGATGGTAGAATTCAGGATCTTGTGTGGTAGGGTCAGTAGAATAGCAAGTAGAATCGCAACCCTGGACTTTAGCAGGGCAAACTTTGGCCTCTTCAAGCAATTGCTAGGGGAAATCCCATGGGCTAGGCTGCTTGAAGGGAAAGGGGCCCAAGATAGTTGGTTGACGTTCAAGGACTGCTTTTTCCGAGCTCAAGATCGGAGCATCCCGACACGTAGGAAGTCAGGGAAGAGGGTCAGGAGACCTGCGTGGCTAAATAGGGAATTGCTCGGTATGCTCAAGTGGAAGAGGAGAGTTTACAGGTCATGGAAGGAAGGGCTGGCCACTTGGGAAGAATATAAGGCTGCTGCTAGAGGATGTAGGAAAGCTGCTAGGATGGCTAAGGCCTCCTTGGAATTAAAGCTGGCGAGAGGGGTCAAGGACAGCAGAAAGAGCTTTTTCAAATACATGGCAGGTAAAACTAACACCAGAGGCAATGTAGGCCCGCTGATGAACGGGACGGGTGCCCTGGTGACAGAAGATACAGAGATGGCAGAGTTACTGAATGACTTCTTTGTCTCTGTCTACTCTGCCGGAGGCAGTCCTGAAGAGCCCTGTACCGCTGAGACCTCGGATGAAGATAGGTCAACGGAGCGGTCTGCCTTAGTCGATGAGGAATGGGTTAAAGACCAGTTGAGCAATCTGGATATCCATAAATCCATGGGTCCAGATGGGATGCACCCGCGGGTGCTGAGGGAACTGGCTGAGGTCATTGCTAGACCGCTCTCCATCATCTTTACCAAGTCTTGGGAAACGGGAGAGGTGCCTGAGGACTGGAGGAAAGCAAATGTCACTCCTGTCTTCAAAAAGGGCAAGAAGGAGGACCCGGGTAACTATAGACCGGTTAGCCTCACCTCCATTCCTGGGAAAGTGATGGAACACCTTATCCTTGGTGCCATCTTAAGGCATATCAAGGATAAGAGGGTTATGAGGGGCAGTCAACATGGCTTCACCAAGGGGAAGTCGTGCTTGACCAATCTCGTAGCCTTTTATGAGGAAATAACACGGTGGATGGATGATGGTAGAGCGGTGGATGTGGTCTACCTCGACTTCAGCAAAGCGTTTGACACGGTCTCCCACAGCATCCTTGCGGCTAAATTGAGGAAGTGTGGTCTGGATGATCGGGTAGTGAGGTGGACTGTGAACTGGCTGAAGGAGAGAAGCCAGAGAGTTGTAGTCTATGGGGCGGAGTCTAGTTGGAGGCCTGTATCTAGTGGAGTGCCTCAAGGGTCGGTACTGGGACCAGTATTATTTAATATATTCATCAACGATTTAGATGAGGGAATTGAGTGTACTATCAGCAAGTTTGCTGATGACACTAAGCTGGGAGGGGTGGCCGACACGCCAGAAGGCTGTGCTGCCATCCAGAGGGACCTGGACAGGCTGGAGAGCTGGGCGGGGAATAACTTGATGAAATATAACAAGGGAAAGTGTAGAGTCCTGCATCTGGGCAGGAACAACCCCAGGTTCCAGTATAGGCTGGGGAACGACCTGTTAGAGAGCAGTGTAGGGGAGAGGGACCTGGGGGTCCTGGTGGACGACAGGGTGACCATGAGCCGACACTGTGCCCTTGTGGCCAAGAAGGCCAATGGCATCCTGGGGTGTATTAGAAGGGGGGTGGTTAGTAGGTCGAGAGAGGTCCTCCTTCCCCTCTACTCTGCCCTGGTGAGACCTCATCTGGAATATTGTGTCCAGTTCTGGGCCCCTCAGTTTAAAAAGGACAGGGACCTGCTGGAGAGAGTCCAGCGCAGGGCAACTAAGATGATTAAGGGAGTGGAGCATCTCCCTTATGAGGAAAGACTGAGGGAGCTGGGTCTCTATAGTTTGGAGAAGAGGAGATTAAGGGGTGACCTTATTAGTGTATATAAATATATAAAGGGGGAGTGTCACGAGGATGGAGCCAGGCTCTTCTCAGTGGCAAACAATGAAAGGACAAGGGGTAATGGGTACAAATTGGAGCACAAGAGGTTCCACTTAAACCTGAGAAGAAACTTCTTCTCAGTGAGGGTGACGGAACACTGGAACAGGCTGCCCAGGGAGGTTGTGGAATCTCCTTCTTTGGAGACATTCAAAACCCGCCTGGACACGTTCCTGTGTAACCTTATCTAGGTGTTCCTGCTCCGGCAGGGGGATTGGACTAGATGATCTTTTGAGGTCCCTTCCAATCTCTAACATACTGTGATACTGTGATCCATGGCCCTGCTCTTGGAGCCATTCTGCAACAGTGCCGCTCTAGCCATGTGCACCACAGACACGGAGGCTGGAGCCTATAGCAGCGGTAACCACCATAGAGTGCAGCGCCGCTACACAAGACGTGCTACCTGTCCA